AGGCAGGAGAGTATCTTGAACCTGGGAGGCAAAGAACACAGTGAGCCGAGATTGCTCCACTGCCCTCCAACCTGGGCGGCAGGCCAAGACTCCACCTCAAAAAAAAAAAAAATTTTGGACATTCAGCAGAATGTTGAAAGTGGTTATTGTGGGATAGTGAGTGAGAGTTTTACTTTTCTCCCTAATATTTTTCTGTACTTTTCAAATGTTCTACAGTGAACAGTATTTATTTCTATGATTGGAATGTGCCTTTTAAATCATATTGTTGAAAAATACATGATACAGAAAAATGATTTGAGATAAGAAAAAAAAAAACTCAAGATACAAAACTCTAAATCCAGAGGAGTATATATACCTATCATTGGTTCTCACTGGGTGCTGATCACAAATGTTATTATCTTCTTTATATTTGTTTTATTTTCCAATTTTTTCTCTGAAAAATGCATATATTTTAAGGAAAAAATGAACTACCCATCTTTTCTGGCTACCCATCTTTTCTGGCTCTTATTCTGCTATTAAGTCACAAATACCAAGAGCTATTATGTGTCAGGAATTGTACTAGGGAACCGACTCTAACTACAAAATAGTCCTTTTCATCACGGGCTTGTAGTCTAATGGGAGACCACTCAGGAGACTGTTGAAATGATCCAGCCACAGGATGATGGTGATTTAAACAAATAACCGTTGATATTTATTGAGCAAGATTTGATGTCAGTTACTCTAAGTACATTTTTACATCCATTTATTACATTTTTACATCCTCAACTCCTGATAACCAGGTAGGTACTGTTACTTTCTCTATTTTGAAAGATACAGAAGTTAAAAGGTAGAATTAAGATTTGAACCCAGGAAGTCTGACACTAGAACTGATAAGGCTTATGTTTTAGGTTTGGGCAAGGGATGAATGGTAGTACTAGTCATTGAAAGTAGGGAAACATAAGAGATGGCACAAGTTTGGAGAAGGATAGGGAGGTGATGAGTTCATTTTTTACATTAGGTTAGAGTGAAGATATCTATCCAAGAGGTACCTGATTATATGTGTCTGAAGATAAGCAATGACCTGGAATTGAGTTAAATTTGCGAACTGTGAGCATACAGATGATAATTCAATTATCATCTCCTTATGATTCAATCTGTGGGCATGAACATTATCCGTGAAGACTGTGGAGACTGTGTGCTTGGGGCAGAAACAGATAAAATCAAGAATTCAGAGGACCAAGACAGAGTAGTAAGAGAGGTAGGAGGAAAGCAGAATAGTATATTTTAGTATGTTTTCAGAGTTTCATGAAAGTAGGGACTATACCAATCTGTTCACTCTTGCACACGTGAGGCCTAGCCCCATCACACACAAATTAATATATGTTGAATAAACGTACAAATAAGTGATCAAGAATATCAGTTGCTATAGATAGGAGAAGGAAGGGCTAAAAAGCATCTATAGGATTTAGCCACATGGAGACATTTGATGTTATTGCTGAGAAATCAGTAGAGATATGAAGGCAAAAGTCATACTGCAGATGTCTGAGGATGGATTAGAAGTGAGGAAATAAAAACAGGAATTGCAGATAACTCCTAAGAATGTGTTACCAAAGAAGGAAGAGACGGTATCTGAGGAAAAGAGTAACAAGGATTTTTTCTTCCTTGAGTCAGGGTCTTGCTCTACTGCCCAGGCTGGAGTGCAGTGGTACCATTATGACTCACTGCAGTCTCGACCTCCCAGGCTCAAGCAATCTTCCCACCTCAGTCTCCTAAGTAGCTGGGACTACAGGTGTGCGTAACCACACCTAGCCAATTTTTTATTTTTTGTAGAGAGGGAATCTCACCATGTTGCTCAGGCTGGTCTGGAACTCCTGGGCACAAGTGATCCTCCTGCCTTGGCCTCCCCAAGTGCTAGGATTATAGGTGTGAGCCACCAAACTCAGCCAATTTTTTTTTTTCTTGAGACATAGTCTTGCTCTGTTACCCAGGCTGGAGTGCAGTGGCTTGATATCTGCTCACTGCAACCTCCGCCTCTTGGGTTCAAGCTATTCTTCTGTCACAGCCTCCTGAATAGCTGGGACTACAGGCACATACTACCATGACCAGCTAATTTTTGTATTTTTAGTAGAGATAGGGTTTCACCATATTGGCCAGGCTGACAATTTTTTTTTTTTTTTTTTTTAGATGGAGTCTCACTCTGTCGCCGGGCTGGAATGCAGTGGCATGATCTTGGCTCACTGCAATCTCCACCTCCCAGGTTCAAGCAATTCTCCTGCCTTAGCCTCCTAATTAGCTGGACTACTGGCACGCAGTACCATGCCAGACTAATGTTTTTTATTTTAGTAGAGACAGGGCTTCACCATGTTGGCCAGGATAGTTTTGATCTCCAGACCTCGTGATCCGCTCTGCCCGCCTTGGCCTCCCAAAGTGCTGGGATTACAGGTGTGAGCCACAACTCCTGGCCTACTCCATACACTTCTAATAAATTCCATTTTAGTTTAAATTAGGCTGTTTCTGTTGCTTATAACCAAAGATCCCTAAGTGACAGCAATGTTTAATTTCCTGCTTGAGTTAGTTGATGCTACTTCTCAACTTTGTATTTTTGCTATTCACTTAAGAAATGCTTGTACATAATAGCTACCAATAAACCTAATATGTACCAGGTGCTATATATAAACTATGTCTAGTCTTAAAATTATGTAAGGTAAAAATCTTGTATCAATATGATGTATTTTGGTAGAGTAAAAAACACTTCTTATAACTATAAATAAGGACAATTTGTAAGGTTTTGTCTCCTATTGGAGTAACTAAATCCAAACCTTGTTTTTGAGGGTTCTCATTATGCAAACCAATTATTTTTATAACATAAGGGCCTCTAGGGCAGTAAACAATACCTTCTATTCCCAGCTATTTAGCCCAGAGGTGGTACTTCCCAGAGGGAGGAGAGGTTGAATTCTCATCCAAATTCAATAAGCCTGTGTCAGCCAACTCTAGCGAGACAAAGCTGTATATAATATAAAAGCACTTTACAAATCTTAAGGTAAATTACATTCGTTTTGGCATAAAAACGGCATGAAAGGAACCCTTCTGCTAAGTGTCCCCAGTGCATGCTAATTACAATTCATAAAGCTCCCCCTGCTTTAGTACTGTGTTCACTTCGCTGGTGTGACATATCGGACTGTGTTCAAGGACGGAGACATTTTTATCCAGTATAGCAAGTGCATGGAGTTATGCCTGAATGTAGCCAGAACCTGGAAGACAGTTAAACTACCAGCTTGGATGAAAATTAACCGTCTCAAGTACTGAGGAACAAACATGAACGTTTCTCAATCCGATCATCTTTCCTTATAATTGGCAGCAATAAATCTAAGGCGTCTATCTCCTGGTATGTTGCTTTAAATCCTTTTTGGAAGGGGAAGACATATAAATTAACCACCATCCGTTTCGCGCGTGTACAGAAAGTCCTTTCCATCTCCAGATTCCCTTCTTCCCTCTGCCCCTAGCTCCACCGCCTGCAGGAACACAGGGCTCAGCAACGGGCCCAAGCTACGATTCCCGGAGCCAGACATGTGCGCAGCGCCCCAAACAACTTGTCAAAAAGACGTCTGCAGAGAGACGTTCAGCGCTGTAGCCTTCCAGCGAGGCCACCATGCAGACCCAGCTACGAAAGGTAAAACCAAACCAGCGGAAAAGTCACAGCCAAAACCAGCCCGCACCAGCCCTCTTCACTTTCAGCGGGGTGGGAGCGGAAGTCCGGGTGAGTCATAGAGTTCTCTAGCTCTGGTTTCCGGGCTGCATTCGGGACTACACCGCCTCTCTTCCCCCAGGCGTCCCCGAAGTCCTGGTGGTTTCTATTTCCGGGTGCGTCTTCTGTCATAAAGCCGAGACCTCTCTTCAAACGTGGCGTCGCAGGTTCTTAGCGCCTCGCCTGGAGCCAGCGAGCAAGGACGGGCGCGGGCGGGGATACTCAAAGTCAACAGCTGAAGCCAGTCCTCGTGTCCCGGGCTCACACTGGCACGACTGCATCCTCAGAGTCGGCTGGCTTTTGAGCGGTCACGATTGGGGAGGAGGAGGATTTCTCGTTCGCAGCACCAGGACTGCAGCTACAGAGGATCGCGTTCCTTCCCCCATACCTGCCCCCCAGTCACGCTCTGCCCTGAGGTGCAGCAGTTGACAAGTTACCCCCTTGCCACATACCACTTCTACCCACGTCCGAGTTAGCTTTGTTCTTAACCTTTTTGAAACTCCCCTCCGCCTCCAGAACAGGTCTTTTTTTTCGCTAGTTCATTTTTGCCCATAAAATTGAGTTTTGAGTTTTAGATATCATACAGAAAGTTTACCTTTAAGACTGAGCACCCGTCTGATACCCTTCCTCCCGAAAAAGTTCATGCTCACGAGAGAGTTTGTGGGAAAAGCGAAAGCCAGTCAACACAGGAAACTATGGCCGAGCACGGGGCTCACATCACAACTGCTTCTGTGGCCGATGACCAGCCATCCATCTTCGAGGTGGTAGCACAGGACAGTTTAATGACAGCAGTGAGACCTGCTCTTCAGCATGTGGTCAAGGTAAGGTATTAATTCTTGGATTTTAGGGACAACTGGGTAAAAATCAAACCAATAATTTGTGCTTATTTGGTAGCCTAGCGTTTGAAATAGCCAATTTGCAAATAACTCGTATCTCATGACTTACAGGTTATTGAGTCTGTATTATGTGTAGAGACCTGTACTGAATACCCAACATTTCAAGGAGGTTAGGGTAGATTCCAAAATAAGTGACTTATTTAAGACAGAATGTGTAGACTTTAGAGGAAAAGGGGGAATGCCAATAGAAGGTGTAGTACTTGTGTAATGGAATGAATTTCACTTATTGTTTTATTTTGCTCTAGGTTCTTGCAGAATCAAATCCCACTCACTATGGCTTCTTGTGGAGGTGGTTTGATGAAATCTTTACTCTGCTAGATCTTCTGCTCCAGCAGCATTACCTGTCTAGAACCAGTGCCTCATTTTCTGAAAACTTTTATGGCTTAAAGAGAATTGTAATGGGGGACACTCACAAGTCTCAGAGGTTGGCCAGTGCTGGCCTCCCAAAGCAGCAGCTTTGGAAATCAATTATGTTCCTGGTTCTTCTTCCCTATCTGAAAGTGAAGCTGGAGAAGTTGGTTGCTAGCCTGAGAGAAGAGGATGAATATTCTATTCATCCTCCTTCTTCCCGCCGGAAACGATTTTACAGAGCCTTTCTGGCAGCCTACCCATTTGTTAACATGGCCTGGGAAGGATGGTTTCTTGTACAACAACTTCGATATATCCTAGGAAAAGCTCACCATCACTCACCACTGCTCAGGCTGGCTGGAGTTCGGCTAGGTCGACTGACAGTTCAGGATATACATGCTCTGGAGCACAAACCAGCTGAAGCCAGCGTGATGCAGCAACCAGTCAGGAGGTAAGGCCTTAGCACTTCCAAAAGATCTTTAGTTAATAAATTCTAAAATCTTATCCCAGTTTTGTGAAATTCACCTCCCTGTTAACTTTGTGGTATTTCATAAAGTCATAGAAAAGCAATTCCTTGTGTCCATAAACCAAGGACTGTCATCTTGGTAACCTTCCTCATCATACTAGGTATACTTTTAGTGCACACTTGCTATGTCCTGTGCTAGGTGCTTGCTTTGTGAATATTATCTCAATCTTCAGCACAACCCAATGAAGTAAATGTATTAGCTCCATTTAACAGTTGGGGAAACTAAGCCCAAACAGTTAAGTACCTTGCCAAGGTCATGTATACAGTTAGCTAGCTACAAGGTGGCAGAGCTGGAATTCAAGCCAAGTCAATATAATTCTAAAGACTGTGCTCTGTGAGCCACTGCACTCAGCCTAAGACTGTGCTCTTAATCATGATGCTGTGCTCCTTCTAGTTCATATTTGTGTTCTACAAGTTCAAATATATATATTCCTCAATACTGCTAAGTTTTTTGTTAAGTGAATTGGTTTTTTTTTTTTTTTTTTCCCTGGATCACTATCTTCCACTAAAAAAAGGGAGAAAGTCTATATAATGAAATTCTCTACTGATTTCTTTCAAAACACAAAACCAAACCCTAATTATTTGTTACTAAAAACAAACCTTAGCTCCTATGCTCCTAAAATACTGTAAGTTAGAGAGAATCACGTAGAATAGATCCTTAACGAGATAGTACCACCAGTCTACCAACTTTTCAGTCCCCCAGTGATTCTGATGAAAAATATAAGAATTGCATTTATATTAGTCATTCTCTAATAAAACCTAAAGTTTCTCTTTTTGCCTCCTTGTTCTTTTCTCCCAACAGTGTTAGTGAGAAGATAAAGTCAGCTCTGAAGAAAGCTGTGGGAGGTGTTGCCTTATCCCTGTCTACTGGCCTTTCTGTGGGTGTATTCTTCTTGCAGTTCCTTGACTGGTGGTACTCATCTGAAAATCAAGAAACCATCAAGTCATTGACTGCCCTGCCTACTCCACCACCACCTGTACACCTAGACTATAACTCGGATTCTCCTCTCCTACCCAAAATGAAGACTGTGTGCCCACTGTGTCGTAAAACCAGGGTGAATGATACTGTTCTTGCCACTTCTGGCTATGTGTTTTGTTACCGCTGTGTGTTTCATTATGTGAGGAGTCACCAAGCTTGTCCCATCACAGGTTATCCAACAGAAGTACAACATCTGATTAAACTCTACTCCCCTGAGAACTGAAAGGGAATCGTGTCTTATCCTCACAACAAAACTATTGCACTGTAATGCCACAGGGCTGCTTTCAGCATGGCATATAGCATTGATACTTCTCAGCCTCAATTCATAACTATATGAACTTTAAATGACTATATGGATTTCTTTAAAAGGATATGCCCATTGGTGGCGCGTGCCTGTAGTCCCAGTTACTTGGGAGGCTGAGGCAGGAGAATTGCCTGAACCCAGGAGGCGGAGGTTGCGGTGAGCCGAGATCGCGCCATTGCACTCCAGCCTGGGTAACAAGAGCAAAACTCTGTCTCAAAAAAAAAAAAAAAAAAAAAAAAAAGATATGCCCATTTGATCCTAAACTTTTAGCCTGCTCTCTAGAACCCTACTTACAGTTGACCAAGCTGCTTAAGATAGAAGAATCAGTATTGGCAGGGGATATGAGGGCCAGTGTAGAAATTAAACAGGATAATGACTACAGAATTTTTTGCTTATCCCTTTCCTTAAAATATAAGTACAGAAGGTCTTAGGAAAAATCCAAGTTAGCATAAAAAATAAAGTGAACAGTGAAGTGGTAGCAAGCCTTCTTTTTAGAAAAGAAAGCATTTACCTGGCTGTCTGTAAGGTGGAAATTTCATCAGTTTGCCAACGATAGGAAATGTGGACCTGCTCTTGGTCAAAATGTTTAGAAATATTTTAGGGAAAAATTAAAGCTCCTTCCATATACTGTGACCCATTTGTTAAGTGACATCTACAGTTATCAACTTTTAAGGATATCCTTAAAAGTTGGATATTTAGGATACTTAAGGATATTCCTTTATGAATCCTCCATAGCTTTCTTGAGAAACTGGTTAAAAAAGGAATAGGGGTTGAGTGTTACGGAGAGAATAGTCTGAAGATTCCTGTGTAAAAGCAAAGCTAACAAGCAATGAAGAGATGAAGCAAAATACTAATCTAATTGTGTAAAGAAAGGATATTTTAGTAAGTTCTTTCTGTTTGTTGCTAAGAGTTTGCTAAACTGTCATGAATTATTCTGGTTATTACTAAAGTTTCTATGAAACACTTAAGTAGATTTTAAGAATAAATGTTTCTGGAAAAATAACTGTTCCATGTTGTTATGATTTTGTAGAAACGTAAAGATTACTTAAGGTGTTTAAAATAAATTTTTCATTCAGACTGCCTTTGACTTTTTGAGGTATTTTTGTATTAAAATTTTGCCAATCCAGTAGTTGGAACAAAAATCCTCTGCTCCAGCAACAAGAATTCAGCCGCATGCGAAATATCTCATGCATCAACTTAAGAAATACTTAAGTTGCCTGTGTAGGAGAATTTATGCCATTGGATTAGCAGGCTGGTGAAAACACGGGTTAAAAAAAAATCATCACTACAAGAGGAAGGATGAAAATGATTTTTAAGAGTGCCTGCTGACATAGTGTTTTCCAATACTTTAACTCATTTTACCAATTCAAAGCACATTCTCTGACAGCACAAAGGTGCTGAAGCTAAAATTTTCAATAGGATATTCTATGGATCTTAATATTAAGACATTTATGATGTTAACTGAGACAATAAAAAAAGAGAAAATATTAAAACTTTTATATGCCATAAGAAAAGTGTAATGGATTTTAAAATTCTCATTAAACCTCAAAGGTTTTACCAAAGCAAATACCATGGTTAATTAAACATTTTTTCTTTATTTTTTTACTGAGTTGAAGTCTGGCTCTGTTGCCCAGGCTGGAGTGCAGTGGCACGATCTGGCTCACTGCAACCTCTGCTTCCTGGGTTCAAACAATTCTCCCACCTTAGCCTCCCAAGGAGCTGTGATTACAGGTGCATGCCACCATGCCCAGATAATTTTTGTATTTTTAGTAGAGGCAGGGTTTCGCCATGTTGGCCAGGCTGGTGTTGAACTCCTAACCTCCAGTGATCCACCCGCCTTGGCCTCCCAAAGTGCTGGGATTATAGGCGTGAGCCATTGTGCCTGGCCAATTAAACATTTTTAATACAGTAATAAGTGAATAATAGAATTGAAGCAGATTCAGGATTGAAATGATGTAGTCTTCTATGAAGATTTCAAAGCAAGATTTTTCACCTCAACCTAAGAAGGAAAACATGAGAGTATCAGTAATTCAAAATATAAAAGAAACATCTTAAACATAATAAAACCAGTGTCCAAACAGGATACAACAGACCTGTGCAGAAAAACCACAACCTGGATCAGCTCAGAGAGAAGATTAAGGGATCATACCCTGGTCAAAGCCAACATTGAAGCAATGGCAATACCAGGTCAGACTCCACTTCACTCATCATTGCATTTCACCTCCTTGTATTACCTAAGAGCAACACAGTTCCCTATTTTCACATCCAAGAAGACACAGGCTTACCTATGAAAAAAATAAAGTCTTAAGTTTCAACCATGGGTTTCTAATTAATATTTCTTTCTTTTTTTTTTTTTTTTTTTTTTTAAAGACAGGGTCTTACTCTGTTACCCAGGCTGTAGTGCAATGGCTTCATTATGGCTTACTGCAGTCTCAACCTCCCCAGGCTCAGGTGATCATCCCACCTCAGCCTCCCAAGTAGCTGGGACTACAGTCACAGGCCACCACGCCTGGCTAATTTTTGTACTTTTTGTAGAGACAGGGTTTCACCATGTTGCCCAGGCTGGTCTGGAACTCCTGAGTTCAAGCAATCTACCCACCTCGGCCTCCCAAAGTGTTTCGATTAGAGGTATGAGCCACTATGCCCAGCCTGTTTTCAATATTTTTTTTATTTTGAGACAGGTTTTCACTCTGTCAACCAGGCTGCAGTGCAGTGGTGCAATCACAGCTCACTGTAGCCTCAAACTCCTGGGCTCAGGCGATACTCCCAGGTAGGTAGAACTACAGCCACCCCTGGCTAATTCTTTTTAATTTTTTGTAGAGACAAGGTCTTGCTATGTTTCCCAGGCTGATCTCAAACTCCTGGCTTCAAGTGATCTTCCCACCACATCCTTCCAAAGCCTTGGTATTAAAAGCGGGAGCCACCACACCTGGTCCTCAATATTTTATTTTCCAATGTTCTTTGCTTTAAAATAACTTTGCTATACAAAAATACAAACTAGGGTGGGCACAGCGGCTCGTGGCTATACAGCTAGTGCTCCACTTACAACCACGATCGGCTCCGACAGACCGGTCGTAACACAATTTGGTTGTAAGTTGAGTAGGCTATATGTACAGTACTGTGAAATGATGTTATAAAAATCTTTAAGTCATATTTTATCATAATTTTCTTTCATTGTTATATATCATAATTTTCTTTGTTCATTTTATGCCATTTGTATCATCTCTACACCATTTTGTTTCTTATTTTTACATTCGTCAGGTTTAAGTAAAACACTGCATTACCAGTAGTAAAGGTTGACCTGAATGCTTATTATGAAAGCATTCTTGTCAAATCTCATTTTTAAAAAGCCAACTTAACTTGTGGTAAAGGCGCAGCCTTGTGTAAAACTGTGGAATATTCACAGATCACTGAACCACGGTGGTCTATGGTTTGAAGTGAAAAACCACGGCACATGATGAGTTTTGAAAAGCAGAAGAGTATGAACTATGTTAAGTCTTAGGGTAAAAAAAGACTAGTTGCCAGGTATTTATTTATTATCATTGTAAACAGAAAACTAAATCATCACAATTTTATGTGACTTTCCATGGGATACAAATATGCAGCATTCATCATAAAAGATGTCATCTGGATATCTTGTTCAAATATAATTTAAACTTAGTATGTTCTAATATTGTTAAAGATATAGGGATGTAAACCACTCACATTTTAGTAAGAAAGTCAAGAAAATGACTAATAATGATATGATACAGCATATATGTTTATTGTACTGCACTGTCATACACCCAGCAGGGCAACATTTGCGCTGCCAGACACAGAGTAGTCGTGGCTAGCGATTGTGGTCGTAAAGTCGAGTGGTCGTAAGTTGCATAGGTCGTAAGTCGATCAATACCTGTAATCCTAGCACTTTGGAAGGCTGAGGTGGGAGGATTCCCTGAGCCCAAGAGTTGCCAAAACCAGCCCTGGCAAAATAGAGAGACACTGTTTCTACAAAAAGTAGCCAGGCGTGGTGGTGCACAACTGTAGTCTCAGCCACTAGGGAGGTTGAGATGGGAAAAGGATTGCTTGAACCTGAGAGATCAAGACCACAGTGACCCTGTCTCACAAAAAAAAAAAAAAAAAAAAAAAAAAAAAAAAGGAAAACTGAACAAATTTTGTTTTTTAGGGTTTTTGTTTTTGAAGTACAAAGGACAGTTGAGAAACATTTGCCATTCAAAAACTTTTGTTTTTTTCTAATGAGCACAAACAGCATGCATGATAAAATCTCAGGAATGTTCATGAAGAAGCTTATAGCTTACTTTTTTTTGTTTTTGTTTTTGAGACAGGGTTTCACTCTGTGGCCCAGGATGGAATCCAGTGGTGCAATCACTGCCAATTTGAACTCAGGCTTAGGCGATCCTCCTGTCTCAGGCTTCTGAGCAGTTGGGACAACAGGTGTGCAACCACCATGCCCAGCTAATTAAAACAAAAAACAAAGTTGTAGACACAAGGTCTTGCTATGTTGCCCAGGCTAGTCTCAAATTCCTGGCTTCAAGTGATCCTCCTGCCTTGGCTTCCCAAAACCCTAGGATCAAAAGCTTGAGCCAATAAGCCTGGCCTTAGTCTTGTTCAAAAGCAAAAGTTTTAGAAAATATATTTTCTTTTTTTAAATTTCTTTCCTTTTTCTGGAGATAGGGTCTTGCTATGTCATGCAGCCTGGAGTGCAGTGGCCTCAAACTGCTGGGCTCAAGCAATCGTCCCACCCCAGTCTTCTGAGTAACTGAGATCTGAGGCAAGCAACACCAAGCCCAGGTAATTTAAAAAAATTTTTTAGAGAGACAGGGCCTTGCCATGTTGCCCAGGCTGGATTCAAACTGCCGGCTCAAGTGATCCTCCCTCTTTGGCCTCCCAAAGTGCTGGATTGCAGGTGTCAGCCACTGTACTTGGCCTAGAAAAGATTTCTTTTTTTTAGATGGAATCTCACTGTCACTCAGGGTAGAGTACAATGATCTTGGCTCACTGCAGCCTCTGCCTCCCAGG